GCATGTAAATGGGCTGAGTAATCGCTCAGGTAGGATAATGTGGATGCTACTTCGCAAAACATGTTTCACGCCTTCACCATTTTTCTTGGATTTTTAATAACAATAAATGTAAAGTGATTCACTAATTATGGGACAACCTAATATATGTACTGTGGATTGAATGTGAGTGCCACTATCAGTTAGATCACAGCTGGGCACATATGACAATTTACTGGAACAGCTAGATTGAGAGTCCAGTAATTCAAATTCTATTGGTTTTCGAATGATATTTCTTGTAGGTTATCAGAGTTTTAATTAAGGTATGTATTAAGTGATCTACCCGGTACCCTAGCGGTACTCTAATATCACCATGTTTTCTTCTACAGTGGTGACTTGTTGAAGCGCCTTATTTCATTTTCGTAAAAGTGTATCTGTTCACGATCAAAATCATCAAAACAAAGAAGTGGGAAAAGTTCTTGCACAAGTGTTCTCCCCGTAAACCATCCCGAAGAAGCTTTTTCACATCTCTCATTTTCCAGACAGTTAATCAGCTTTCAGGAGATGTTCATTGAATGTGCATTCGAAAACGCTCGGTGAAATACTACGAGGTGTCACTTTGCCTATGGCTATTGGATACTGGTTCGATACGCAAACTGCATGAAGATCTCTCGGTATTACGTGCTTTATTAATAGCCCATATGGTAACTGGAGATAAGATGAAGAGTGGGAAAGGGATAAAAATATGAATAGATTTCGGACATGGCCTGACTAGAAAGAAGTGCTTGACTATTTTCCGCGAATCACTTAAATGTAAAATTTGCTTACTAAAACTCAACATTGAAATATTTTGCCTCCACTAAAATTCATGCTTACTCAGGGTTGCTTTTTAATTGAAACTGAACTTACTGATGATTAATGCTTAATGATCACTCGGAACCTTCTTTGTGATGTTGGCTCGACAGTCCAAACTTTGACACTAGCACGTTTTTTTTACACTGTTCTTGGAACGTGGTTGCAAATTTTACTCGTGCACCACCCGCCCAAAAGTAGATGTTGCGTTATGTCTAATGTAGGTGAGTCCTGGGAGATTTGGAGTGTGCTCAGCCCACAAATTTGGTTCAATTTTTTCTCGATCTCGAGGCCGCGCTAGACCCGTATGAGTTTTCGCACTAGGCAGCGTCCGTTTGTTGTGTGCTCCCTGCGAGTCGATCCCGTATCGTACGCAGACGCGCCGGTCTTATCCCATTTTTTGCGGCCTCTTAACTGTACCGGATTTGTTTCACGGGTTTCTGATTTTGGCTCTGCCCATAGTAGGTGAAGCTGTTTCTATAAAATCTTTTTCGCTGCTACTGCTAGCATTTGATCTCGCTTTAACCGCTTTTGCTTTTGCTTATGCTTTATGTTCTAACCGCTTTCACTATCCGCGGTATATGGAATTCTTTCTGTACGATCGCATATTTTTTCAGAGCTCTTTTGATACTGTTTAAAGGAATTATCATTAATTTCCATTGTCATTTGTTATATCAGTGTCTCCTTCGTTTACTGTTTTTCTCGATAAAGATCTTGAACTGTTTTGAAAAAGATAGAAGCTCATGTCTGAAGCCATATGAGGGAATTATTATGGTTGTTACCTTTCCGTAGCTCCTTTTCGTCTTTCGTAGAACTGTGTGCGGTTGAGTGATCCCTGCTTGACAATGCTAGTAAAATTATAGGCATAGTCCGCACTCGAAAATAAAGCTAAGCGTGGAAACTGGACCGGTAATCAAAAACAAAAACAGTTGGAAGATAGGAGCCTCCTTCCTGAGTAATGGGCGAGTCTGCGTAACACCAAAGGCAGATGGTTTGAGGTAAACTGGCCATCATGCCGGGAAAGCGCAGGAAAAGTGAAGGCGCAAGTATGAAACATTTGCAGCCAGGGTGAAAATCGTCGAGGACTCGCTGACCCGACTCGTCGAGGATTTTCACCTGTTCAGTGACGCTCTCCCGCGGGAACAATCATTCTTGCCACGTGCGATCCGTCTGTGCTCTCCGTGGTCACATTCACTCTAGATAAGCCCTCGTCGAGATCATGTAGAACACCTACGCTCGTGCAGTGTGATCTAGTACACCTTAGAAATATGTAAATTGCCCATACAGCAGTGAATGCCCTGATCACGAAAAGGGCTTTCATTTTTAGCGGTGGCGCCATCTGTCGCCAGTTGGCGTCACCTTGTCACGGCACCTGCTTTCACCAAATTTGGTGTAAACTTACGAAAGGGGTTATCTGGTGCCTTGATTACGAGTATGATATCAATCTTGGGGCTAGCGCTGTTTGGCGCCTATTTTCTGCTCATCTGCGCTCTCCAACCGAGAACGTTAATGCCAAAATGAATGTTGTATCGTAATCACGGCACCAAATAACCCCCCCCCCCTTATGTAGAAGTTAACAACAATTTTGGTGAAAACTGGTGTCGTGACAAGGTTACGCAAGATGGCGCCACCGTTAAAAGTGAGTGCTGTTTTCGCTATCAATACCCTCGAAATCGATATGGCGACATTAACATTTGTGATGTGACGTGGGTGTTCGTAGGCCGGCCTGTCACGAGGGCCTGTCGCCTGCATTCGAATGTCCGTGATCAGCTCAGCTCACAAAGTGAGCAGTTTCCCAGTGGCACCCTTGGAGGAACGGACACCGCCACCCGTGATGGCTCGCTAGCGACAATAAAAGCACGCTCGATTAACAGGCGCAAACCTAGTCCGACCGTCTGACTATGTTCGGTCTCAGGTTGAACGTCAAAAAGACTGAGTAGGCGACCACCGATTCGAGGAGCTCGCTCTAGTAAAGTGATCATCACGGCTACTGAAGCTTCAATCTCATATAAACATCCATTCAAGTATCTTGGATCAGCAATTACGTCGTCTGACGGCAGCCTGGTCTTCGAAACGAATTCTCGCGTGAATGCAGCCTGGTCGAAATGGCGCTCGATGACTGGCGTTCTCTGCGATAAGAACATGCCAGAACGTCTCAAATCTAAGATCTATAGAACCGTCATCCGGCCGGTCGCGATTTACGGTGCTGAGTGCTGGCCTGCGACTAAAGAAGTCGAAGCCCGTCTCAGTGTGATGGAGACAAAGATGCTGCGTTGGACAGCCGGAGTCACACGACTAGACCACATTCGAAACGAAGTCATCAGAGAAGCGATTCGGGGTGGCTCCAATTGTCGACAAGATGCGCGAAGCCCGTCTTCGATGGTATGGTCATGTCCTTCGCGCGAAAGATGACAGTGTCTGTAAGATCGGTCTCAACCTTGACGTGCCCGGAAAGCGGCCTAGGGGGCGCCCGAAGCAGCGATGGCTCGATACGTTGCACGTAGACTTGAAGTCGGTTAATATCCACCCCGATCAAGCAATCGGGAAAAGTGGCGTCAACATATAAGAAAAGCGAACTCCGCCTACAAGCGGGACAGACGCTAAAGAATAAGAAGAAGAAGAAGAGGCATCGATTCCTATGGCCGAACTACCCTATGTCTCTTTCATTTTTCTTTTGCCAACAGGGTTCATTAAAACTCTATCAGTGATTTCATTGGTGAGCTTTCGCTGTTTTAATAAGCTTCGTGAGACCTACAATAAGCTGATAAGTACGTACATCACTATCACAGCGATCTTACAATTAGTGGCTTTCTTTCGTTCCTCAATGCAGGGTCAGCTAAATCATGGCACTAAGCAATTGCTCGGTATAAGGAGTCATGTCGAAAAATACCATGCTGCATTCCTGGAGTGCCCATTCACCATATATGAAGACAAAACGTGATGCTGAAGCCGTATGGCGACGAAGTCAAGGGCCATTGCATTGCGATTTGCACCCTGCTGTTTGCAGTAGTGGAAACAGAACATACATATCTAGAATACTGGAAGGGAACGGTTAATTTTAAGTGAGAACCAGTTTAGCTACGCACTATACCGGCACTAAAGACGGCTATTGTGAATAGACTAACTCGTGGGATGAACCTAACCCGACTGTCGCAGTAATGCGGCAGATTGGGTTTGAGCCTTCTCTAATTCTTCTAATTTTGAGTGGGAGTAAAGTTTTTTTTTGCTACAGGGAAGTTCTATTTACACTTGATTGAATCTGTACTGATATACAGTAACGGTAAAAAGTTTGAAAGCTTTAATTTTTGGTCTATTGAAGGAAATACCCACCGAAACTCAATTTCTTATTGTTTATACAAAATCAAGTGCGGAATACGATGGCCATCATAATTTACCGAAATCGTTATCGAAAAATAAGATTTTTAAAAAAAATGGCGCGTCAAAAGTTTGGAAACTTTTTGTTTCCCTCATCATTATAATTCCTACTCTTCAATGTTTGCATATTTCTGTTGATTTTAGTTTAGTTGTTAAGTGTAATGCTTTTTTGAAATGAATGCTTGTAAAAAGGAAACATCTCATCTCCATAGGAAAGTTTTTTATACCCTAGAGTCCGGAATACGAGATTGAAATTGGCGCTTTTGCCACCTCCAACACTCTCTTAGACGTTAGCTCTTCCTACTTGAGCAACCGCTTTCTAGCTTATACAGGGGCCAACCCACCCATCGCTACCATCGTATCTCAGTTGTCCTTCACCTTCCCACATCCATACGTGTTCGCGGCGTTCTGTAGCTCCGCATAGTATTCCTACGAGGTCAGGTCCGTCTTCTGTGATTTAGACATGAGCGCAAAGCTTTCCGCCATGAGCACTCTTTTCGGCTGAAACTGCTGCACCTTGCTTCAGCTCCAACAAGGTCACTGCTTCCGGCTCCTTTCCCTGTAACAAGGACTCCGATTCATAATTTGGTGTCTCCGACTCTAGGAGAAAGATGAGGCGTTTATCGCCTTCATCGGTTACTCTCCGCAAGGCCAAAAAGTTTTGAAAAAGCCTCCACAAGGTGTTCCAGGAAGTTCTAGGCACATATGGCCTTGGGATACGACCACGATACATATCGTAGGCCATGGCTGAATTATTTCCAGTTGGCAAAATCTCTCGCATCCCCACTAACCTGGTGG